GCACCGCACTCTACCGAGTGAGCCACGGGCCGGCCCTTAAATTTCATTTTCTTAAAAATTATCCAGTTCCAAGTATTTTGTTATAAACAACAGAAATGGACTAACACACCCACCCTACCTTACTAAAACAACCCTTATCTTCCAACAGTATCCCCCATATATTTACTTTCCCACAATTAATTGCCCCTTGAAGCTCAACCCTCTTTTTGACTTATTAGGTCTCCACAATTTATCACTCCTTGTTAAAATGGCATATAAGCTTTCCCTTCTTTGGGGTTCACTTCCTTTCTGTAAGGCCCTCCATATGCATATGAAATAAAGCTTCTTCTCCAGTTTATCTATCTTGTGAGTTTAATATATAGGGCCCCAGCCACTGAACCTAAGAGGGTAGAGGAAAAGATTTTCCTGCTCTACACCGTCTTTATCCATAGGCTGATTTATTTAATTGGAGTGAAATTGCCTGTCAAATTTTTGCTATTGATACTTATTGCCAAGCGTACTCTAAAAAGACTTAGACATATATTTATTCCCACTATCAAGGAATGTATAAGCATTCTGAGAAGCCTAATTATTTTTGCAGACCTAAATTCCACTGCTTCACGAAGCCTTCTCCTTCTACTCACCACCACTCTTTTCCTTTAGTGAAATCCTTTCCACCTAGGGTCTTAGCACTTTGCAGCTCAGCACTTCAGTGTTCTCCTGTTAATTCATTTATAAAGAAAAGGAAAAAGAAATTCCAGCTTTGGGCCGGCCTGTGGCTCACTCGGGAGAGTGTGGTGCTGATAACACAAAGGATCCAGATTCAGATCCCATATAGGGATGGTTGGTTCGCTCATTGGCTGAGCGTGGTGCTGACAACACCAAGTCAAGGGTTAAGATCCCCTTACCGGTCATCTTTAAAAAAATAAATAAATAAATTCCAGCTTCTATTTGTGCCTGATCATATGCAGGGAAGTAGAAATACAAATATGAGTTAGACCAAGTCACCACCTTCCAGGAGTTCACAATCCAGTGGGCATCTAAACCTTGCTATTCTTAAATGCATCTTGTGAGTTGCAATGGGGGATTAAAAAATGGGTACAATTAGTCTCCTGGGACAATAAATGGTGTCTGTTTATAAGAGTTTGTCAGTAAACAATGAGAGAGGTAATCAAATTTACACTCCCAATAGCAGTGTAGAATGGTAATCAGAAAAGCAGATTAAGTTTCCTAACCTAAAATAACACTTCTTACTCATCCGAGCAGCAACAGCATTTGGTTCACATAGAAGGCACTCAGGAAATGTCTGTTGAGTGATGCAGGAATAGATAAATGCATGAATGGTTGAAGACAGCTTACTATAAGCAAAGAAAAACTATGAAATTCTAGGGGTTTACAATCTTCTCCACATTAAAGGCGGCAGATCCTCCACAAGATGCCTTTGTTTTGATGGAGTGGGAAATCATTTGGGAGAGGGACTAAAAGTTCCTCTATTATAAAGGGAAAGAAAAATCCAGGGAGAGCTGTAAGTAGGTGGCAGTGAGTAGTTCATGACAAGGGCAGAGCGTGGTTTGGAGATCATGGAGAGAATGCAGCAACTGCCGAAGGGAGTGGGTGGGCAGAAATGTTTTTTAAAAGACTTTTAGTAAGTCGGCCGTGTGATCTATGATGCAACTCCCTTCCCCATCTCTCCCAAAATACATCAGTAAAAACGGTGTACTCTTCTGATTTTGGAGTCTGGTCAGGACTTGTCTTATGAATGTGGGAAGGCATCAAGCCCAGCGGGCACAGGGTGAGAGCAGAGACAGCGAAGAAAGCCCAGTGTCATTCGTGTTTACACGCAACTTGTGTGTTCGAGGATCACGGGAAAGAACTCTCTTGCTGAGCCAAAACTGTATATGGTGGCCCATGGGCAAGAGGGAGGAATACCAATGAGCTATTGTGGGATTATAGCCATCGGAAGGAGCGAGGAAACTTCATCTGGCTGCAGAAGGGGTGGGTGGTGGGGAAGCAGTGACTGTCAGTCCACTTGTGCAGCCCAGTGCCTGGTACCTAACAGGAGCTCGGGGTGTATTTGGTGACTGACTGGATCGTACAGGATAAAGAAGGGGATTGATTATTGCAATCCGGTGAGGCGAGAATTATTACCCCCATTGTAGAGATGAGAAAACAGGCCTGAAGGTAACTCCTTCCAGGTCGCTCGGCCGGCAGCGGAGATGCAGCGACCTAATCCGGCCTCCGGCTTCCCCAGCGGCCCCTCCCGCCAGAGCTCGCACCTGGCATCCACCCCACACTTCCGGATTCCGCCCCGCCCACCCGCGAGTACTTCCGGTCTGTAGCTTTGGAAGCCACGCTCGGAGCTGTGGGGCAGTGAGTCCGCGCCGCAGGAGCCCGCATAGCCTTCGGAAGCAGTCCTTGGGCAGGGTGACGGCGGGCCCTGGCGGCAGCAGGCCCTTATTTCTCAAGTCACTGTGCATTGAGCGTCAGCCATTTCCTCGCGAAGGCCGGAGCCCAGGCCTGATGATGACGTCACTTCCTGGAAGCGGACCGGAGGAAACCGGAAATGGTGCCGGCCCTGCTTGGTGCTTGGCAGGGGTCAAGACAGATTTTCTTGGTATTTCTGCGTTTTGCGTTCCGAAGTTTAGGAGAGACAGTGTCCTAAGTAGAGTTGGAGGATTTAGCAAATAAAACTACAGGGCGACCAGTCCAATTTGAATTTCATATAAATGACAAATAATTTTTAGTGTAGGTATATCCTAAATATTGTATGGGACATACTTATACTGAAAAGTTACTTGTGTACATGAAATTCATGTGTGTGTGTGTGTGGAACACAAACCGTTGACCTTGCTTGGTATTACAACGCTGCACTCTAACTGAGCTAACCAGCCAGCACTGAAATTCAAATTTAACTGGACGTCCTGTAATTATCTGGCAACCTTAGCTTTGAGCGGCCTCCCATCTGGGCCCTGGTATCTGCTAGCAAGGCTGGGATCCTGTAGGCCTTTGTCCATCTGGGAAATGGGAAAAAAGTTCACGCAGGCTATAAGAATCAGCTGTTTCAGGTACTGAGACTCTTTTAGCTCCAGGCCTAATGGGCAAGCCTCAGGGGTATCCCTGGCAAGAGCTGGGCTTATTTTCAGAGTCTCCATGGTGGTGATCTCTGTTCCCTTTCACAACAGGAGACAGGCAGGGCTAATCTCTTAATGGGAAGCTGAGACTCGGATAGACTAAATGGCCAAGGTCTAGAAGTTGCCATGTTATTTGGGTATGGGATACCCATTGGCATTTGGGGTTTTCTGTGTCACAGTGGAAGGTATCAGAGAGCCTGAGATGTCAAGGGGAAAGCAGTAATCTTAATCTCACCCCACCTCTCATTTTGCAGATGAGGCCCAGTAAGAGAAATGGAGGTGTCCCTGCCACTCAGAAAACCTGTGGTAGAGCTGAAACACCAATTCCCAGTTTCCTTCCCCTGCTGGATCCACACTTGCTGATGCAGTCATCTTGCAGTATTTATGGTAGGCATTTATTAAAGTAGATGCCTTTTAACAGATGAACTCTTTTTTTTTTTTTCCTTTATGTCTTTTTTCGTGACCGGCAACAGGATCACAACCCTCTGTGTCGCGCCCGCACCACGCTCAACCAGTGAGCGGACCGGTCTCTATATGGGATCCGAACCCTCGGCGGGAGCACCGCTGTGCTCCCAAGTGCCGCACTCTACTGAGTGCGCCACCGGGCCGGCCCAACAGATGAACTCTTTTTTTTTTTTTCCTTTATGTCTTTTTTCGTGACCGGCAACAGGATCACAACCCTCTGTGTCGCGCCCGCACCACGCTCAACCAGTGAGCGGACCGGTCTCTATATGGGATCCGAACCCTCGGCGGGAGCACCGCTGTGCTCCCAAGTGCCGCACTCTACTGAGTGCGCCACCGGGCCGGCCCAACAGATGAACTCTTTGGAGATTTATTGTCCCTAAACTTCTCTACAGCTTCCTGACCTTCACCTCAAAGCTTTTCTAGTTTTTACTCTGCCCAGTGAGGAAAATGATTATTTGGGCTCAGCTATGTGAGCCTGGCCTTTGGCCTGCTCCAGCCACTGGGCTCTCACTAGTGTGGGTGGTGTGACCCAGGGCTTGTTTTGTTATCTTGGAGCCAGAAGGGGTGTTCTGGGCAGGAGTGGGTCTTGCCTGCTGTGTTGGTGGAAGGGCATCCTTTTTTATCTTACAGATTAGGCCCCATGGCACCAGGCCTCATTTGGTGTCTGGGGATTTCCCTAAGGTTCTACCATGAGCCAGACTTTGCTGCCACTCCTGATTTTAAGCTGAACCTCTTGCTGGCCTGGCCGTGAGTTCTGGGATTCCTCAGGCATATGCCCTGTGGATGTGCTCCGGGCCTAGCCTGTCAGTGCCCTGGTGAGCCTGCAGCCTCTCCACACAGACCCAGTGTTCCCAGGCTCCCCAGCTGAGTCCCACAAGATAATGAAATAGAGCAGGCTGGGGGTCAACTAGTGGTATAGCCAACAGCCTCCTAGCAGCAGAGGGGGTAAAGAGGCAAGGAAGGAGTGCCAGAAAGGGGCATTGCCACCGGGCGAGAGCTCAGAAGTGCAGGAGGTGGGAAAGGGGTGGGGTGGGAGCCCACTGATATAAGTTACTCCCTATGTCAATCATTAACTCCCAGCTGCAGGGGGTGACCTAGGAGGAGGGCTCAGCTAACAAGAACTTTGGACTTGGAGCAGAGTGTCTAGCGGGCCAGCTTGTGGTCTGCAGAAGAGGAGGACGTGGCTGGGTGGCAGGGCTGGGCTCCAAGGACCGGAGTGAGATCAGGCAGCCGTGGGCTTCAGGAAGTCTCCTTGGTTTATCTGATGGCTTATTCTCGAAGCAGCAGCTGTGGTGTTCCCCAGTCCTGAGCCTTCAGAGGGGTCGCTGTGTGGAGCCTCCTATCCTTAGCCTTGCAGCGGCCTCATTCATGCTTTCTCCCCTGTAGGCAGCCATGGGTGCCAGGTGGTGCTGAGAGCAGTGGGGCATGGCTGCAGCCCTGCAGGTCCTGCCCTGCTTGACCCGAGCCCCCTTGCGTCCACTTCTCTTGAGGCGCCCAGTGGTCCGGCTGGCCAGTGGCATGGCCTTGGCAGAACAGGCACAGCAGTTGTTTCAGAGTGCTGTGGGAGCTGTGCTGCCGGGCCCCATGCTGCACCGGGCACTGTCCTTGGACCCTGGTGGCAGACAGCTGAAGGTGCGGGACCGGAGCTTTCAGCTGCGGCAAAACCTCTACCTCGTGGGCTTTGGCAAGGCTGTGCTGGGTATGGCAGCTGCAGCTGAGGAGTTACTGGGCCAGCACCTTGTGCAAGGTGTGATCAGCATTCCCAAGGGGATTCGTGCTGCCATGGAGCACGCCAGCAAGTGGTAAGGAGCCACGGGGGACTGCTGTCAATCTGGAGGGAAACCTGAGCCCAGACCCAGGCTGAATCAGGACCTCCCTCCCTCACCAGCTTCCCTTTTCTCCTGGATCTGGCCTGGCTCCAGCATGGGGGTCAGTGGGCATTCTCATTCATGTCACCTCCACCTCTGCAGCTAAGAAATTAGGTGGGAGGAGAGTAGCCTAACCCATCTTTTCCTGTCTGTTCTCTCCCTTCTCAGGGAGATGCTGCTGAAGCCCCACAGCCGTGTCCAGGTATTCGAGGGTGCAGAGGACAACCTGCCAGACCGTGATGCGCTGCGGGCTGCACTGGCCATCCGGCAGCTGGCTGAGGGACTCACAGCCGATGACTTGCTGCTCGTGCTCATCTCAGGTGAGAGTGCCAGATTGGCTCAAGACAGTTGGCAGGGGGGATGCTTCAAATATCAGGTCTTCAGGACATTAGGTCTGAGCCCCACAAAGTAAAATTGGGAGCAAGGGAGGCAGTGAGGAACCTGGATGGTGACCCCTGGGATGGTCTTGGGCCAGTTGTCTGGCCTTCCTTGAGCTGTGGGGTCCTCCCCACAAACTGACCTTGTTGGGTGACAGTGAGAGGGTGCATGGGGAGCACTTAATGCAGGGCTTTGTGTATCAGCAAAACCCTCAGAAAATATAACTGCTGTTGCTGCTGCCTGCATAAGTGTCACCCAGGTCTTCAGACTCCATGGAACCCTCCTCTAGGCCCTCTGCTGTCTCCCCCTGCTCTTCCCCCTGTTCCAAGCTCTTAAGGAATAATTAATTTTTCTACTGCCTGCTAGAATCTGGGGTACCCCAAGGCAGGGGACAACCTCAGGTAGCCTGGGTGTGGTGACTGTGCACACACACTGCATGTCCACACGGGGGCACCCTAACACCACCTCTCTAGCCCTCCTTCCCTAATGTGGGTTTGTCCACCACTGCTTGCCTGGTTCCCTGGGTTGGAATGTCTCCTCTGCCTGACATGCTCACTATCTCTACAGGTGGGGGCTCAGCCCTACTGCCCGCCCCCATCCCACCTGTCACACTGGAGGAGAAGCAGATGCTCACCAAGCTGCTGGCAGCCCGCGGAGCCACCATCCAGGAGCTGAACACTATCCGGAAGGCTCTGTCCCAGCTTAAGGGTGGGGGACTGGCTCAAGCTGCCTACCCTGCTCAGGTGCGTGAGTTGCTTCTTTCCTAGTCTGCCTTGGGCTGGTGGAGCCAGACTTACATGTTCCAGAGAGATGAAAGCCTAGAACAGCAGAGAAATTGGCAGGGGATTGGTATGAGAGACCAAAGGCTGTCTGAGTAATGTCAAGGGTGGGGGTGCCCAGAGAGGGTTAGGCTGAGTCTGTGTGGCCAGATGTTCTGTGATCCCACCTGAGAGGGCTTAGAAATGGGTGAGGAAATGCACCTGATGGTGTGAGGGTATATGGGTACTCCGGAGGCAGTTTGTCCTTATGGGCTATAGGCTGAAGAGAAGGTGGGACTGAGCTTTGCCCTGTGATCCTTCCACAGGTGGTGAGCCTGATCCTGTCAGATGTGGTGGGGGACCCTGTGGAGGTGATTGCCAGCGGCCCCACTGTGGCCAGTGCCCACAACGTGCAAGATTGCCTGCATATCCTCAATCACTATGGCCTTCGTGCTGCCCTGCCACGTTCCGTGAAGACTGTGCTGGCTCGGGCTGACTCTGACCCCCGTGGGCCACACACCTGTGGTCACGTCCTCAATGTGATCATTGGCTCCAATGTGCTGGCACTGGCTGAGGCCCAGCGGAAGGCTGAGGCGCTGGGCTACAGGGCCATGGTGCTGAGCGCAGCCATGCAGGGTGATGTGAAAAGCGTGGCCCAGTTCTATGGGCTGCTGGCCCGGGTGGCTGGAACCCACCTCACCCCATCCGTGGCTAGGGCTTCTGAGGAGGAGGCTGCAAAACTCCATGAGCTGGCAGCTGAGCTCCAGCTCACAGACCTGCAGCTAGAGGAGACTCTGGAGGCTGTGGCGGGAGCTAGGGTCCCAGTCTGCCTGCTGGCTGGTGGTGAGCCCACAGTGCAGCTGCAGGGCTCGGGCAAGGGTGGCCGAAACCAGGAACTGGCCCTGCGTGTTGGGGCAGAGCTGGGAAGACAGCCACTGGGGCCCATTGATGTGCTGTTTTTGAGCGGTGGCACTGATGGGCAAGATGGGCCCACAGAGGCTGCTGGAGCCTGGGTCACGCCTGAGCTTGCCAGCCAGGCTGCTGCAGAAGGCCTGGACATGGCCACTTTCCTAGCCCACAATGACTCGCACACCTTCTTCTGCCGCCTTCAGGGTGGGACACACCTGTTGCGAACAGGGCTGACAGGTACCAACGTCATGGACACCCACCTCCTGTTCTTGCGACCTTGGTGATAGCATAGGTCACATTTTGGGACTCCGGAGGAGGCCTATAAGGGCAGAATTCTAGGGCCGACCACGGTTGGTCCCCAGGGCCTCACCAGGCCTTAGGGCCCCTCGTCTTCTTGACCCTGGCTGCTTCATTGGCCTTCATATCTCCCACCCAGGGCCTCTCTGATCCATGTCTGTTCTTCCCAACCATGTTGGCATGTGAGGGCTCCCCTCCACCTCCACTTTCTGACATGGCAGCAGATACCGTTGAGGACCAGGACAAGCCTCTTGGCCAGTTTATTCTTGTTCTCCCCTGGGCAGCCCCTCTGCTGAGCCCTTTGGCCTGATTTTTCTGTGGAGTGAAGCAAGAAAGACTGAAAATAAAAATAGCACACTATGGGTTCTTCATGCGTCTTCCTTCCAAGCAAAGACTCACAGGGGAGCCCCTGGAGAAGGACAGTGTGGTATGGCTGCAGGCACAGTGCCAGGACTTGACAGGAGTTTCCCACACCCCTCTCTCGGTGCTGGGCACACTCAGGACTTGTTTTATGTAAATGGGATCCTGGGTCTGTCTCTCTAGAGTCTGTTAGGGTTGAGCCTGGCTCCTGATAGCTTGGATATTCGTAAGCAGAGATCCCAGAGATGACAGGCTTAAGGGCTGCAGTCTGGGTCCAGAAGTGACTGGCCACCCACTCAACCATGACTCCCTTGTGGCAACTTTACCACTGTCTGCCTGCCTTCTGCCTGTGTGCCTTGTTAGGTGGATTTTACTATCTGCCACCAAGGACATCCCTTCCATCTTTGGACAGCCCTTAGTTACAGACTTCATCTTTGGTTGAGTTGAAATCTGTACCACCTCCCAGTCTTCTGTTTATTCAAGGGCTATCCCCACCCACAAAGAATGCTGGGCCTTGTTTCCTTGTGCCAACCCATTTTCCTAGGCTGAACATTCCCAGTTCCCTCAGCCACTCTTCCAGGGACACAGTCTAGGCCCTGGTGCCAACCTTTCAGTGGGGGTTTCCATTGCTGGGATGTTGGGTCAGAACAGTAATGGGGTCCAGCAGCCCTTTGCCCCTTTCTCTGTTAACAGCTGGTGGAAGGAGAGATGAGTGGGGAGGAGAGTAGCAGAGGAATGGCTCCCTCGGCCTGGCTAGTAGCCTGGATTGGGAGGTAGGCACCACTATCCCAATTCTATTTGGGCCCCCTTGCTCAGTATCAAAGCCTTCCGCTGGCTGTCCCCACCGTGCGCCACGGCTCCAATCCCTATATGAGTGAGCAGTAGAATCACATAGGAATAAAAAGCCATAGAGAACAGCGAGGCCTGGGGCTGCTCCTGCAGGCCTTTCCTCTCCCCCAGCTCTCCCCTCCTCCCTGAGGGTGGTGAGGGGCTCTGGGCCAGGGCTGGCATGCCCTCCCCACTAAGGCTCTGGATAACCTAGCTTGTGGACGGTTTGTGACCTGGGGACCTGGCTCATTCAGGGCAGGCTGTTCCTGGCTCAAGTTCCTGCTGCCCTCGCATCTATCTCACCTCTATCTCCTGAAGCTTTCCCCAGCCCAGCTGGAAGCTTTCACTATGCAGGGTGCCCAGCCCTGCTGACTGCTGCAGCCCTCACATGCCACTCCATTCCCTGCACTTGGCATGTGCTGAGAGCAGCTGGGCAATGGGCCTGGACAGCCCTTAGGTGTTTGGTAATCTAAATCCTTGTTTTATAGCTGGAGAAACAGAGAAGGTGGCTTGCTTGTCTGGGGATGCACGGCAAGTTGGCTACAGAGCCAGGATGAGAACCTGATTTGGGACCTGCTTGCCCATTCTCTGCCACTCTCTGGGGCTCAGATCCCAGGGCCCAGCATGGGCTCAGCCAGAGCCTGAAGATCTACTTCTGCCTCCCCACTGCCCCTCAAGGGCTTGGGGATGGTGACATGACCACACTTGGCCTCTCCAGGGACCCATAAAGCAGATTTGTCAGTCTCTTCTTGGCTCAGAGAAGCAACTCCATTGTCTGTGTGATTTGGTAGAAAACTGTGCAGTTGAGTGGTGGGCTTCTACATAAAGGTGTGTCTCTGTGTGTATACACATCTGTGTGTGCACATGGGTGTATACGTAGGCATGTGCATGTCCAGTGCAACCACAGCCACTGAGCAGGCCTCTGAGCTGTGCTCTGCCCCATCCCTGCATGGAGACACACGGTTTGGTGTAGTTAAAGTGTTGGGGATATGATGGAGCAGGAGACCACGAAGGCTGGCAAAGGGCCTTGTGTGCCTGACTTGGGGGGTTGATTCCACCTTGACAGCAGTGGCAAACCTCATGAGGATCTTGGCAGGCAGTAATGTCATGAGGCTGTTTTAGGACTTTGATCTGAGAGGGTAGAGGATAGGGGCATGCAAGGAGATGGAGGGCATCTCAGGTGGGAGAGAAGTGCATCACCAGGCTCTGGGAACCCCCCTCTACCTCCCCTCTGAAGCTTCAGCCCCGCAGCCTTCAGCCAGCCCAGGCAACCCTTTAGATGCCCACTTTGGAATGAAGGCTGAGAGCCCTGGCTCAAACACTTCAGGGAGTAACTGAGCTCTTACGTTCCTGGGAATGCCATTGGGGCCTTGAGGATTTGGGGGCAGAGAGGATGGGAAGCTAGTGGACATGTTGGTGGGCATAGGGACCCCACCCTCATTTAGGATCTCACCAGGGTGGCAGTTAAGTGGCCTGGAAGGATCACTGGAGTGGGAATCAGGTCCTAGGTCCTTGTACTTTCCTTGCCACTTCCCTTTCTCCAGACCTCTGTTTTCTCCTGTGACTAATGGGTACAACATCCTTGCCCTGCTCACCTCTTTGGGGAGGTGTCAGCAGGTGGTGGATCTATGTGGAAAAGCTCTGTACAATTGGGGGGTTTAGGGAGGAGGTATTGGCTGCTTCCAAGGAGAATTTTGGGGAGCTCTTGGCTCAGGGAGGCCCCCTTCTTTCAGGGTGGAATGTTGGTGCTTACTAACGGAGACTGAGCCAATAACTTATTGCCCTCTGGCATTGGACTGGCACTAGCAGGGGCTGTTATTTGAGTTTCTAATGGCTAGTAGGGTGCATGGTGCCTTGGGAGGTCATGGAGCTGATGTGGGGTCAGTTGGAGCTAGAGTAAGCCGAGCCAGCCTGGAGGAGAGCCTTTCATGTCTCATAAAAATGAGAAAGGCAGCCTGCCTCCCTCTGTGTCTGGATCCTATGCGGGGGGGACATAGTGAGGCCCAGACGGGTGGGGGAAGACTGGCTTGACCTCAGGCTGAGAATGCCTTGCTGGGTGAGAGGATTTGGGGTGTGCTAGGGAAGGAGTGGGAGTGTGCAGGGGTGGGGGGGACACCGATACACCGTGGATGGTGGGGAAGCCAATGACCTAGGCAGGCTGCCTCATGAGAGACAGGACCATGGAGCTGTAGTGAGCTGTGCCCAGCCTGCGAGGGATGGCCTTTTTCCCCAAGACAGGGTTGTCTTTGAGTCATACCTCTCCCCAGGTAACCACTGGAGCGAGTTCTGAGGCTTTGCCCCCTCACTTCCCCTGGCTCAGGCTGGCCCATAGTGGCTGGAGGGAGTGGGCAGGAGGTGGACACTCAGCCCTGCACCAGCTCATACCCACAGCTCTGATTCCACCTTTCTGTTCATGTTGCTCCATCTGGGGTTGGGGGTGGCTGCTGCCCTGCTCAAATGAAGAGTTTCTGGCCAAAGAAAGAGGGTTGGCACCTGGAAACAAGTGCCCATCTGCTCAGTCCTAGAGGGGCCACTGCCCTTAGCAGCTCTGCCTCATGGGATCGCTACCCACCATGATCTCGTCCACCACTGACTCCCTGGGGGTCCAGGGAGCTGTAGGACCTGGCCTTGCCCTGGCCAAACAGCCTCCCAGAATGTAGCCCATTGGGAAGTTCCTTCCTGATACCCCCACACACTCAGCCTTTCCTGATTCTCCTCTGGCAGGCAGCAGAGCCACCCGCTTGCCTCTCTAGGGAGCACACCTCTCTGTCCTGGTCCCATCAACCCTGCCTCTCTATCACCAGCTCCAGCTGAGAAGGGAGTGGGTCCCCTGGCACCAGCTCCTGCCCCTTCAGTACACTCCCATCCACGTGCCCAGCATTAAAGTCTCAGCATCTCCTAGTCCTGGGCTGTCTCCAGTAATCACACTCGTAGCCTCACTCAAGAGCCAGGACTCTCCTCACCCCTGCCCTCCCCCACCTCTACCCACAGAGCCCCCATTCCTCCCTGTCCAGCACAGTTCCAGGAAGCTGACTGCAGGAACATCTGGGTTCTGGCCTGAAACCCTACTGTTTGCAGCTCTGGGTAAAGCTGCCCTGGGGACCCTGTCTGGGGGAAGCTGGTCAAAGACTCCTAGAGGAGGGAGAAATGCTCATCTCCCCAATGTGGCTCTGGGGGCCAGTAGCTTGGAGTGAAACCTGTGAGCTTGTGGCAGGGGGAAGATCTTTTCTTCTCTGCCCACACCCCTGACCTGGGCAGTGGGAGCAGCCCCAGCACATTGCAACCTGCAACCAAGCCCCCACCAGGAACAGGCACTTTTGGGGGTCAAAGCCCTGAGAACAGTGCCACTGCTACCACACAGCAACCTCATAGCCACAGCTCAGCCAGAGGCAGGATTCCGACTCTGGACTCCAGGATTGGACATACACTCAAACCTTCAGGGGCTGGCTGTTCCGGGCAGCCCAGCCCCCGCCCACCCTGTCGGGTCCCCCCTGAAGGTCTCCCTTAACCCAGGCCACCGGCAAAAGCCAGGACAGGGACAGAGCTGGCCAGCCTCCAGCCAGACTTGTCCCTTGCAGCCAACTGGCTGTCCCTCCACCCTTCACTCCTGCTGACCACTGGGGCACCTGAGGCTGGCACTGTGACTGCTGCTCCCACTGCCCTGGGCAGAAACTGCCCACTCTCCCCACCTGCCCGCCCCCCAGGGCTCCGGCTGTCCCTGGATCCCCTGGCTCACCTCTGTGGCGCTGTCTCCTCACCAGAGGCACTGCAGTGTGGGAACTGTCCCGAGGAGCCGGTTCTCAGCTGAAACAAAGAGGTGGGGGAGAAAGAGGGGGGCAGCAGGAGAGGGAGAGTGTGAGTGAGCAGCGAAGGAGTGGAGGCTGGTGGGGGAAGAGAGAAGGGAGAGGATGAAAGAGAAGAGAAGAGGGGAGGGGAGGACAACATGCT